ACAGACCTAAGTCTTTTTGAGGGAGAGAATATAGAATATTTATAGTATAAATTGTAGTAATATTATGAGATCTTTCCTTGAGGATATGTGACTTCTTTAGTCAATGTGTTCTGGGTGGATCTGAGAACTGGCTTAGACCTGGAAACTGGGTGAGGGGTTGTACGTTTCCCTTGCAGCATCTGATCTCTGCCTTCTCCTCACCACTTCTTGAGTTCTTTTGCAAGTGACAATCAGTATCCAAGCAGGCTGCTGACCTTTTGAGCCCCATGGAATATCATGTTCTATTGGCTGACCCCATAGATACTTATGGGTAAGGAGACCCAGGCTGCCTTCCTAGATAATCTCCCATTGTGGAAATGCTGTCTGCTCTGCCTAGGTCTTTGCCTAAACTCTACTATTTCAGAATCTTGGCATCTCCTTTGTTTCTAGTTAGTACAGTTTGATGGCACAACCTCCTAAAGGCAGCGCTGACCATGGATGTCAGCCAGTACTATGTTGCCCAAAGGTGCAGGCACAAGCCTACTGGTGCCTTATTATTGCTTTGGTGCAGAAAGTGCCCCCTGGACCCTCCCAAGGAACATCATCAAGTGGTAGAGTCACTGCTCCTACCTGATAAATCCATGCCTGATTCCTACTTCTCGCTCAGTACTCTGCCAGGGCAACACAGCATCTAGACCTCACGAGTGTCATACTTGAGGTTCGCAGAGCCACCTACGCCACGCATCTGGATAGTTTCCAAGTGTCCTTTTCCGAAGTCAAATACTAAACTATGAGTGCATTCTCCCGAATCCATAAACTCAATTTAGTATCTTCCAGGCCCATTCCCACACTTTCTCCCTGATGCATGGTGACACATGTTAATCAGGACCTGCAGTTACAACCATAAGATGAAATTTATTCTCAGAGTAGGAACTTTATTTTCCCACTGGGCTATGCTTGGACCTGGATGTAGCAGAAATAAAGAGGTGGGGATGAACGTTGAATAAGACGGGTATCACATGGTGAGAATCCACACCCAGTGGAGACTCTGCCCAGTGCCTCGGCACCAGTACCTCTGAGGAAGGGGAAAGGCTGTCTCTCCTTACTCTGAAGGTTCCAGATGTGCAAGCTCAGACTGTCTTGTCTAACCCCCTCCATGCTAGTCCAGAGGATCCCGCCGCTTCCCTACCCAGGCTCTGAGTTTGGTGTAGAAAACCTACTTGAGGTGTCTCCTTTGTAACAGTGATAAAGATTTTCAAGATGTCAATACAAGATGCCAAGTTGAATTTGAATTTCAGACAAACAAAAAATAATATTTTGACATAAATGTGCCCCATAAAATATTTAGAACATAAAAATTATCCCTTATGTATCTGAAATCCAAATTTGTTTTATTCCTCTCTCTTGCTCTGTCCCCTCTTTCCTACCCCACCCTCATACTTCTTCCTCAGGCCCACAGCCCAGGCACCCACGCCCTCCGGCCCTATCACAGGCCCAGACCCAGAAGGCCGGGATGTTTTGTGCAGGGTGATGATGTCAGCCACACAAAAACCCAACAGCCTCTGGGACACACTGACTATGATCTCCCAGGGGTCAGTCTTCATACAAGAAGGAAGATCTTTGGAGCTATGCCACTGGCCAGTGGAAACTTACTGGACTCTGTCCCACCCCAGCAAACCAACAGAAGCTCACTGCCCCCTTTGCTCAAGGACCAGCCTGCTTCCTTGATTGGTGCCGGCTCACTTCAGCTGAAGGCCCCCGGTTACAGACGGCACTGTGTGTGTGTTTGCAACACTTGGCCCTGCCTCATTTCTATCATCTCCAGGTCTAGTATCAACTCCTGCCTGCCAGTGAGCTATAGGACCCAAGCCACGGTGGGAAGGTGACAGCGGCCTTGCTAGAAAGTCCTGGACCTGCCACCAAGAAGGAGGCCAGCTCTTCCAGACTCCGTGACAGCTCTCAGTGGACCAGGGTCCTCCTCTTCCGTGGGGCCCTCACCTCTGAGCAGAGGTGAGGCTAAGCCCAAGGGTACCCCTCACCTAATAAATTCTGTCCTGGGCTGGGGATTTAGCTCTGCAGCACAGTGCCTGCCTGGCAAACGCGAGGTCATGAGTTCAATTCCAAGTATGGGGAAAAAAATAAAATAAAATAAATCCTGGCCTACCTGGTCATCCTGGGACATGCAGACCCTCAGGCAGTGAAATTAAAGGGCATTCCTGGGCCAGGGATATAGCTCAGTGGTACAGCACCTGCCTGGCAAACACAAGGTCCTGAGTTCGATTCCTTGTACCAAAAAATACATAAATAAATATAAACAAAAGGCCTTCTTGAGGCTGTCATCTATGGTGCCAGCATGAGGGAGTGAATGACCCCAGCTCCCAGTCATTTCTGCCCTTAAGTCCCAGCAGAGGTCAAACTCCAGATGGCCACCATTAAGACCGGAAGCAGGAAGGGGCCCTCTGCTGCCCCCTGGAGTCTGCTGAACCACACAGCCTTGAAAAGAAGAAAGTATCCCCAAGAGGAGGGGCACGCCAAAAAGTCCGGGAGCCGGGTGGTACCAGCAGGAGGCACAACAGGGAGCCCTGAGACGCTGGGAAGCAGAAACACAGAGGTCAGAAACGTATTCTCCATCATTTGACACTGTTTACAAAAGCTGTAAATGCATCCACACACATCCTGTCCTGCGAAGCACTTGCTGTGCTAGTCATTTCTTGCCCCTGGCACAATATCCAGCACCAACAACTTAAAGGGGAGAGGTGTATTTTGGCTCTGAAAACTGGACAATCACAGCATCATTTACTCACTTTGAAGGCTGGATTTCAGATTTACTGAAGATTGTTTAAAATATTAAGACACCAATAGTTTACCGGCAGTTAGGAGAAGGGGCATTCTTTGCATCATAGTTGCAACTTTCTGTAATTTTGAGATTGTTCTGAGAACTTAGAATGTTTTTCAACTTAGAATTTTACATTCACATTGCATATATCCTTTGACTGAGCAATTCCAACTTTAGGATTTTATCCTATGGACATATGGGTATAAGTATGTACACACAATAATAGGTACATATGTATGATGATATTATATCAGAAATGTGTATGCCGGTATTAAATAGCAATAATATCTATAATAATAATTATTTAACAGCAAATAAAAATTAACTGTCATGACTAGTAGACTGGAAGATAACTATGGTAATCCATAAAATGGACATTCCACAATCATTACAAAGGATGAAGTAGGTCCACACTAACAGTAGTGAATATTTACCAAGCGCTCACTGCAAGGCAGGTCTGCTATGTGCTTTGTGTGTATTTATTCAAAACAACCCCTTCTGTGGATCTGGTTAATGTCCCCCTCCTGCAGAGGGCAGAGCTGAGGCAGGGCAGGTTGGAAACAAGCCCAGGATGCAGAGCTGGTGGACAAGCAGGTTTTCCAAGTCCTACAGTTGGTTGCAGTCCGTGTACTTAAACACACGCACACACACAGAAAGAATGCACAAGATGTTCTTAATGATTGTTCTTAGGGAGAAGGGTTAGAGGTAGGAATAGAGCTTGACCTTTTCAGGTTTTACGCCTTATGTACCTGACCGCATAGCTTTATCCTGTATTACCATGCATCAGTTTTATACATTTTTAGGATCTTTAGTTCAAATAAATAAGCACTGAAGTATTAAAACTACCCGCCCTTAAGGAACTTACAGACCCAATACCAACGTTCAGGAGATTCATTAATTTTACAAGCAAAAATAAGGTGCTCGGCAAGGAAATGAAAATCGTAGGACGTAGCTCCTGTGGGCTGTGGAAACCCCGGCTGAAGTCTCACCGTTCCCAGGATTCGCACGCACCAGTGCTGGGTGAGAGTCGCTGTCTCAGCCTAGGGCCCTAAATCCCCTAAACTCCCTGCGGGGCTCACCTACCCCAGGCTCAGCGGCAACAGGATCTAAGGGAGCAGCGTCGGTGGCTTTGGACAGTTCTTAATAACTCATGGAAGGGGCTTGGCAGGGACCCCTAGGCCCTTCTGTGGTTCAGTTTCTGAGACTGCAGGAGCTGTTCCTGTTTGCATTCGTCTCCCCATGTTTGCAGATACGGAAACCGAGTCGGGAGCGCAGCCCTGGATGAAGGAGGCGTTTGCTTGATCGTTTTCCACGGCAGGTGGCAGGAGACGGTGGCTCCGGAGAAGGAGCATGCCATCCCTTCACGTCCGGGGCAATCAGAAGGATGGCAGGCCTGGTGGCTGGACACGGACCCTCGCCTGGCAGCTAGCTGGGTTCAAAGCGCTCCGAGCACCCGGCCGCTGGCCCTGGGGTCCGGAGGTGCAGACGGTTCCCAGCCTGCGTCCCGGCCCCCAGTTCTTGACCAGGAGGCGGGCCACGCACGTGAGACCCCCGGGCTCGCCGGGGTCGTCCGGGCCTGGGTCCCCACGCCCCGCCTGCAGCGTCACTGTGCGGAGGAGCGCGCTGCCTGCGGACCCCGGCGCAGAGCCCCACTCCCCAGTCCAGGCTTCCGGGCAGGCCCTTTGTTGAGCCCCGGTGTCCCATCCGTGAAGGTGAAGTAACTAGCCTTCGCTCTGTGGAGTTAGAGGGGCGCTCGGCAAAGGCACCTGCGCCCGGGCGCGCTCGGCAGGCGAATCCGGGTGTCCGGGCGGGACCGGGGCGGCCACGCCTCGCCAAGGCTCCCTACCTTGCGCCCCGCAAGCTGCGCCGCCGCCCTCCTCCCCTAACGGGTTGGGGTGCGGGGGCGAGGAGCACCGGGTCTCCTCAGTCCCGGCGCCTCCCGCTGGTCTGCAGCGCCCCAGGCCGGACCCGGGGCCGGGCGCCAGGCGATCCCGGCGGGGCGGGGTGGGGCCACGTGACCGGCGGCACCCGGACCTCGCCGCGTCCGCAAGGGGCAGTCGGAGTGCACGGCCCCAGCCGCCCGGTGCGCCTTCTGCCGTGTCCCTCACAGGACCCTAGGAAACAGCGCCAAGGACCTCCCTGGCCGACCGGCCAGCGTGCCCAGCAGAGAGGCCGGTGAGCGCGCCCAGAAAAGGAGCTGGGGCCTGAGGTCTCCCAGGACCCCGAGTCAGGCCCGCGGAGGGTGCGCGGTCCGTGCAGCCCCGAGAGGTCAGAATGCCCCAGCTGGGTCCCCAGCTCCCTAAACCCCACACCCCGGGACTCTCCTGGATTCTTTGAACAGATGGACCTGGCTTTCAGGAGCGCATCTGGGCGAGAAGGGCAGTTTCCATCAGAAGCCCGGGCGGTCTGCACTGCGAGCGGGGCCAAGCAGACGGGCAGGGCCCCCTCGGCCCAAAGCTGCCTGGGGGAGACATCCTCCTGGCGCCCCAGGGGTCTTGGGACAGAGAGAAGTGGGGACCCTGGTATGGGGAGGCGTCCCCACCCTCACCTGGGCCCCGAAAAGCCTGAGCTTGTTGGCATCATCTTGTGTTGCTGCCAGGCCCTGGGCCCCGCTCCCTGCCGTGGAGATTCAGGGGCGTGGGGACTCGGAGAGGGCTGTGGACATCAGGCATCGTCCACACAAGCCTCAGGTCCCTACAAGAGGTGACCTTGCCCAGCCTCAGCGTCCCATGCCCTGGGGACCATGGCAGGTGCTGCAGGGTTGGCCAGGGACCTGGAGAAGCGGGTCCACACATCAGGAGCCAGTGGGCCGGGCTGATGAAAGTGCTAATGAGCATGAAAAGTTAGAAGCCGCAGGGTGCACCGGGTGCAGGGTGCGGGGCTGCAGGGCGTGGCTCCAGTGCACCCCTGTCTGAGTGGTCGGGGCAGCTGTTGAGGCCTGACCCCTTGTTCCTTTCAAAAACTACTTCGGGAAGTTTTCAGGGGAGCCCTTTCCCCTCCCTGTCCGGTGCTCATAATTCTAACTTCCTTGCATTGTCCTGGCCTCCAAAGAGGCCATGGAATCACCTGTAGAGACAAGAGCTGACTTTAGAGGCAGCACAGAACTTATGTCTATGCATGTGCGGGTTCCCCAGAAACCTCCAGAGCCAGGAACGCCAGGGGAAGGACAGGGATGGGCGGGGAGCTGAGCTGCAGGGGCCTGGGCCAGAGCTTCCAGGTGGTGCCTGGTTCACCTGCGGGAAAGGAAACAGACCTTCCGGGTGGAAATGTGCACATTTTGCTGCTGACAAAACCTGGAGGTTCCCTGCCTACCCACACCCATGGGCACAGGCCCTGCCCACAGAAAAAACCTCCCAAGAGCTCTGGGAGCAACGCTTGGGAGGCAGCCACAAAGGGTTAAAGTGCAGGGTGCCACACTGGCACCTTGGCCACACCTCTGTCAGTAGGAAACGGCCACACCACACACCTCGGTCTGAGTCACGGGCATCCCTCCGTGGTTCATGGGCATTCACAAGGACTTGGTCTTGCTCACTGGTTTCTGTTTGCTCGGGTGGGTGGCCACTCACAGTGGCTGTCGCTCCAAGGCTCCCAGGTTCCTGGGTTCCTTGGTTCCGAGCTGGCCCCACAGGTGGGGAAGCCAAGTCTGTCTAGGGGGAAGAATCCCATGGAGATTTCCCTTCCATTTGCCCAAAATAAGAATTCCAGTCTTCCACGGATGGAGACAACACAACCTCGCAATTCAGTGGCCTGGGGCGGGACCACCCAGCAAATCAAACAGCTCCACTTGCTCCTGTGAGATCCTCTCCAGGTCCCCTCCCCTTCTCCCTTACAACCCCTAAGACCCCTAAGCCACAGGGAGGGCAGACAGCTCAAGGATCTGAGTGGGATCAAATCTGAGCAGAGGAACAGGAGCAAACTGCAAGTGCCTTTGGGCTCAGGAACCTCGTGACTCAGCCTTATCTGCAGAGTGGACCGAGGAACAGACGGAAGCTGAGGGCGCCTGCCCGGACCCAGCACACACCCAGGGGGTGCCCTGCCCTCCTAGGCTCCTGTTCAGTCCCTGACCCCACATTCTCCTCCACTGTTGCAGGTAGAGGGACACCAGGTGCAGACGCAGGTCTCAGGGAACAAGCAAAATAGAGGTGCCAGGAGTGCGGATTTTCCTAGGGTCATGGCTGCCTGGCCCTGGAGCTGCCTTCGGCCCTGCTACCAGCGACCCCCTGCTGCTGGGAGGGCAACAAGTCCCTGTGATGCAGGGACTCTCGGCCTGTGCACCTTAGATGCTGAAGTCAAGCATATTCTCCACTTGCTCTCACATTACTTTCTGGAAGTTGTATTTACAAAGCCTTAAGCCTCTGCTCTGCCCCTCTCCTCTCGGTGGGGACGGTGGTCACAGTAGACAAAGCTCCACGATGCCTGGGCCACCCGCTCCGCTGTCGCTCAGCCTTCCGTGGAACTGCAAAGACTTTGGGAACCCTCCGAGATCCTCGGCCCTCTGAACCTCCTGCCCACAAGGACGCAGGCTGGGGCTGCCAGCTGGGCTATGCAGGGTGTGTGCGTGCTTTTCAGGCTCTGCCGTGCAGCATCCTTGACTCGTCACACAGAGCCCAGGGGCCGGAGTGTAGCTCAGTGGGAGGGCGCTTGCCTGGCGCATGCAAGGCCCTGGGTTCAATCCCTGGTAGCACCAACAAGGCAACAAACAAAAGCCCAGAGCACAGTGAGCGTGTCTCCCTCTACTCAGCTGTGACAGGAAGCCCCAAGATGTGCTCTGCCATGACCAGGTCTCCCCGCTCTCCGCATGAGTCCCCACACATTTCAGCTGCAGCTCTGGGGACCTCGCCCGCCAGGATCACCTCTGGCCCGTGCTGGATGCAGGCTCCCTGGCCCCTTCATTTCCAGTTCCTGCTTCAGGGGTCTGCTTATGTAGTTGAGAAACTGAGTCCTTGTGAGAAACAAGGATCAGGAGAGGGGAGGGGACAGGTGTCCTTGGCGTGCGGTAGCAGCACATTGTGACCTTGCCGTGTGGCCACTCACTGGCCTCTGCCTGCCCCTAGGAAGCCAGGTTCGCAGGAAGAGGAACAGGCTTTTTCTTCTGTTTGGCATCTCTCCCTCGCAGCCAGGGTTGAAGTTTCTCACACCAGGGCCTGTGTGCTCGTTTCTGTGCTGAGGGGTAGAGAAGGAAGACTCCTCAGCTGAGGGTCACACTGTCTGCCACTCTGAAAATAGAATTTCCATGAATGCTTTCTTTATGATACTTTTTTTTTTCAAAGCTGATAAAAATGAATAAGCCCCAGTCATCCATCCAGTAAGAACTTTCTATGCCAGTTCTTTAGAAACCAGATGCTGTGTGTTCTAGGGGAGCTCCCAGACTGCATCCACTCCCTGGGAGAAATTTCTTGTCCAGAGTCTCAACTCAACTGTAAGCCAGGCATGGTGGCACACACCTATCATCTCAGCACTCAGGAGGCTGAGGCAGGAGGATCGGTGCGGGTACAAGGCCAGCTTCCACTACACAGTGAGTTCCAGGCCAGCCTACAATGAGGCCTTGTCCCCAAATATCAAAAAAAAAAAAAAAAAAAAGGAAAGAAAGAAACTGAACTGTAGGTGGGCAGCAGGTGGTCCAACGTCTCTGGCCATGGGAAAATGTCTAACTCGTCTGTCACAATCGGCCCTGGACTTGAAGTGAGGGAAGCATTTTAATTACTTTTCCTCACTTTTCTTCTTTGTGGTGCTAGGGAATAAACCCAGAGCCTTCCCACTGAGCTACATCTCAAGTCCTTTTATTTTTCACTTTGAGACAGGTCTTGTTACGTTGCTACATTGCCCAGGCTGGCCTCGAACTTGCAGTCCTCCTGCCTCCTCCCAGAATGCTGGTGCTATTAGGCAGTTCCTTTAGAAATGGCTCACCAAGCACTCCAGGTCCTTCTTGCCTTGGACAAAGAATTGGACAAGACAAAGCCCAAAGCAGTGCCCATGAGCCGGGCGTGGTGGCACACGCCTGTAACCCCAGCACTCGGGAGGCTGAGGCAGGAGGAAGGCTGTGAGTTCAAGGCATAGGGAGACCCTGTCTCCAAAAAACAGTGCTAAAATTTATTTGAAAAGTATGGGGAGAATGGGTCTGGGAGAAACCAACTCTGCAGAGTAGAACAGGAGAAAAAGAAGAGAAAGCAAAAATAAAAGTACACCCTGCATCTGGGAAACGCAGGGTGGGCTACGGTAGGAAGTCATAATAGTGAGCTCCCCAGGGCATCTGGTCTTTCTTTATGCCATGCACATCTCAAGCGAGCTGTCCAGAAGCTCCACACAGGAGGTCCTGGGAATTACGTGGTGCTCTCCTGGGAGCTTGACAGGTCCTGCTCCCGCCCCAGCTTCACCACACCCAGCCTCCTACATCCCTGGGATCACTCATTTTTAAAGAGAAAATATTTTTGCAGTGTTTCAGAGGACAGCTGTGGAGCTCTGTGAAAATTTTCGCCTTAATTAATATCTGCCTAGACAATGTCAGGCAGATAACTGACCACTTGTGTGCCCAAATCAAAGTACACTTCCGGCACAGAACAGGCTGTGTGTACATTTCCTCAAGGAGCCCGTCCCCCTGCTCGGAGCTCGGAGGCAAGGATGGGCTTGCCGGTGGTGTTCAGGCTCCACAGAGAGGCACTGGCAGGACCCCCATCCCACCTTCCAGAGGAAGCAGCCCGGGAAGATTTGCTGAGGCCACTTCTAGGTGTGTGAACTTGCAGTCACCCGAAACCAGCCTTCAGGTCCTTGTCCTCCAAACACCGTGGGCCCCAGGACCGAGGCATCTGCTGTGGGTGACATGGCAGCGTCCTCTTGGGAATGGGGACAGAGGGACAGGGCCTTTGTCAGGACGGAGCAGGCCTTGGTGCTTCTAGGACAGGAAGGCACCATGTCCCTCGGTGGAGAAGTCGTGCTCATCTGTCTCACTGTGGAGGGAGAGGAGGTGACAGTGTGTGCTTCTGGGTGGGAGGCCATTCCCTTTTCACATCTGAGTGTGGGAATTCTGACCAAGACTCCTTTAACTCACCCAGCTGCACGGGAGTTAAGTGACACCCGTGTCCAGACAAGCGTGTGTTCACCTAGGAAACCGCTTGGGACCCGTGGCTTCCTACTGTCCCTCTGACTCTGAGACTTAGTGGGGATGTGACCTCCTGACCCTGTGGCCTCGCAGGTGTGACCCGGGAAGCAGCCGTGATGGAGAACAGCCTGGACCTTTCCAAGCTCACGGACGAGGAGGCCCAGCACGTGTGGCAGGTGGTGCAGCGGGACTTCGCCCTGCGGACAAGGGAGGAGGAAAGGCTGGCGTGAGTGTCTGGTGCGGGAGCCAGGGTGCTGGGCGGGCAGAGGCCGCTGTGGGGTGAGCGGCGTGGACAGAAGCTGTGATACAGAAAAGGGCTCTGCTTCCAGGCCTCAGCGTCCTCATCATTAAGACAAGAGCGCCGTCGCAGGGGATCTTCCGCTCTTCTCTGAGGTCCTGCCTCGCTTGGCCCGGCTTCCGGGACGCCCTCCCCAAACTGAGCGGTACCTGGGCCTCGGCCTGGGGGTGTGACAGGAGCTTGACGCAGCACCAGGGTCTCTTGCTGTCCCTGGGCTGTGCCTGGATGTTGGAGTCGGGGATTTGGGGTGCAGGCCAGCTTCCACCTTCCTCGAGGGCTCCTCCCCCAAGGTGACTCCCACACGTGTGCCTTCCTCTTCTCCTCCCTCGGCGTCCTCCTGCCCCCACTGACCGGGGCGTCTGTCAGCCGCTGGGCCCTGTGATGGTCCCCGCTGACGGTGTGCGTGGGCTGGGTCAGCCCGATGAGAAGGAGGCTGTGGGAGGCGAGGGAAGTGGCCAGGCCCAAGCATCCAAGGATGTGGCAAGCAGAAAGGCCACCGAGGATGACTGGGAACGCCCTGCTGGGAGATGTGATGGGGGCCGGGGGACAGGAGCCGAGGGGCAGAGGGGCAGGGTGGGGTCTTCGCTGCAAGTGGTGGACTCCAGAGATGTGGTCGGAGTACTTGGAAGGCAGAGCAGAAAGTGTGTCCACGGATTGATGGGAGGAGCCAAGGTCGTGGCCTGGGTAACCAGAAGGACAATGTTGAGGGCAGCCCTGAGGCCGGGGAGCGGCTTCTGAGATGCCCCAGCCCCTCAGGTTCACATCCACAACGCAGCGTCCGGTACTGAACCCACGGCTGCTCAGAACACACGCGAACGTTTAAGCACGTGTCACAGTGAGACCCATCGCCGCTGCTTCCCCTCCACATCCTCCCCTCACTTCAGACTCACTCATCCCACCGTGCTGGCCACCTCTGAAGCACTTCCGGGAGTCCTCTTTCATAGCTTTATGAGGTGCGATCAAGTAACGGTGGATGCTGCTGCCGAGCACCGACCCGTGGAAAGGCGGGCCCGCTGCTGTGTCCTTGTCCACCCACTGGAGCTGGCACCGTGTGACTTCTGACTCCTCCTCAGAGCGAGAGCGACCAGACTCAGGGCATCGAGGCGGCCATGAGGGTGCAACTGAAGACTGGCAGGAGAGTTTGCCACAGCTGCTTCGGAGCGTGGCCGGAGTGATGGAGAAGAAATTCTTTGAGGGGGATGAATGGCAAAGTCTTTTACTGCGATAAACCTTTTCAACTTAAATCCTGGCTGGAGTTTTCAATCGCACCTTGTAAATGTGAGGACAGGCGGTGTGCCGGGAGGCGACCAAGGTCAAGACCGCGGGAGCTCGGGGTCACTGCGGAGCGGGCCGCGCCGTGCACACTCCTGGGCTCGGAGGGAGGGAGAGTCACGCCAGTAGCGGCGGGTTCTTGTGCTTCTTGTTTTCGTGCCTTGCTCGCTCTCCCGTTGTGCGTGTCACTGGAGGTCGAGCTGCCGCTACCCTGGACGCCTGTCTGCGAGCCCCGCCCGACCCCAGGAGCGCGGGCCTGGGCACGTGGTCCTGGTCATGAGGCCCGCGGCAGGCGGGGCGCCAGTACAGGTGGCGTCTGGCTTTGCTCAGACGGTGGAGCTGGGGCTTGGAAAGGGCACCAGTGAAACAAGTAGAAAACGAAGGCTCTTTATTCTGGACCCTAGAACTGTTCCTGCGGGGCAGGCCAGCTAAAACGCCAGGCACCAGTGTGAGGCTGAGGGCGATGTTTAAAATAATGAGCCCCACGTCTCCCCCCTTTTATCAGGGTCGCACCGAATGTTTAGCCAGTTTCAACACAAATGTCACCGAGCGCGGCCTCCACAGCCCCGCTCTTGGGCCCGTTCCGCCTTCCTCCTTCGCTTCTCGCGGCCCAGGTCTGGACTCTTTGACCTCTGAATCACGAGGCCAAGCGAGGCCCCGCTTCCTCCATGGACCCTGCATGAGCAGCCATAGCAAATTTAGCAATTCAGGAAGTGTCAGCTTCTGATGGCTTTGACACCTCCCCAAAGGGGCACCCCACGGGTGCCCTGGCTTGAAGAATGCCATGAAAGCTGTGGCCAGAACAAAGTGAATACAGGGAACAAACCGGGTGTTGCAACGCACACCTGTAATCCCAGCATTTGGGAGGCTGAGGCAGGAGAATCGTTGTAAGTTCAGTCTGGGCTACAAAGGAAGCTCAAGGCTAATCTGAACTGCATAGCGAGACCCTGTCTCAAAAAGACAAAAAAAAAAAAAGAAAAATACGGGGAGCACTGTAAAACCACGTTTGTTGTGAAACAAGCCACTCGTCAGCCGGAAAGCACTTCCCTACCGTGAGCGCCGCAGGCGGACGCCGCGGGTGGGCTCCAGGCCAGCACCCCAGAGGCACGGTTGCCAAGGGACAGTTTGCCAGGCAGCCAAATCGCCAAATACACAGTGTGAGAACGGCCCGCCCCAAAATGTCTCTGAACATCTGAGGTTAACAGAGCAGTGCGCCAGTGAGCGGCGGCCCAGTGTCTCTTCCTAGACGTGAGTGTCAGTCACTCCAAGGGTGCTGGGCAGTGTCCCGCAGAGCCTGGAATCCTGCGCTGTCAGAGCCAGTGAAATAGGAGCTGGCCCGGGTCCTGCTGCGCCACAGCGGGCTCTTGATGACTCTTCCCCAAGAACCCAGCCTCTGCGGGCCTGGCCTGGCCTGGCCTGGCCGTCCTCCCTCTGGGCTGACTAAAACCGTTCCTCAGAATCACACCCCTCCAGGGGTCATCTGCACCCTCCAGCTGGCACGCACCTTCCTGGCTCTAAGAGGCGAGTCTCTCTGCACCCAACCTCTTGGCATCACCATCCAAGCAGAGCACCTTATTCCAGAGGGAGGGCTGGCACCTGCCAGGACGGGTCCTCTGGTGCAGCTCCCACATGGCTGCCGGAGGGGTACTGGGAAGCGCTCTGCTTGCAGGCAGTGGGGTCCCTGGAAGGGAGGGAGGAGGCCTCTTCCCCTCCACTCAGTCCCAGGTCTACCCGAATCTCCCTGGAGTCCCTCACTCGTGTCGCCTGGGTAGTAAAAGGTTTTCAGGACAGAATAGGTCATCACGTGTTATAATTGTTAATGTCAGGCAAACACAAAGTCACGCCAAAGTAATCCTTGGAGGGGACATGCGGGGAGCAACCCCAGCCTGGGAGCCTTGCCCTCCCCCTGCCCGGAAGGGCCTGGAACCCCTCAGGTGGGGCTTGCTCGATGCCCGGCTTGCTTGGCGTCGTGCTTATCTGAAGTCCCATCGGCAGCTGCTTCCTGCGCGGTGGGGTGGCCGCTGGGCTGTGGCTGGGAAGAAATGATTGGATGGGCCGAAGCCCGGGAGGCGTGAGCAGATGGCCCTGTGGGCTGGGTGAGTCATGCCTCAGGTGGGACGGAAGGTACCTCTGTGGAACACCCTGCTGTACAGGGCACAGCCTGTAAATCAAATATTGGGCCTGCTAACCTTCCCAGAAAGGCAAATAGGTGGTGGGGTGGAGTTTCGATCTCTGCAAACAGCCGAGAGCTCCTGAGATGATCGGTGGAAGGCTTCTCAGTGTGCGACATGGGCAACTGTGGCTCACGGAAAACAGCAACAAGAAGAAACTGGGAGTCTCCCTGAGTTTGGCCGCTTGGCCCCACAGATGGGCGAGTCCAGGCTGAAAAGGCAGGGTGGAAACAGGAAGCAGCTGCCTGCCCAGGGCCTGAAGATTAACTTTGGTCTAAGATCACTGGCAAGATTCTCGGGAGCCCTCTGTCTCTGCGACCTGTCACTCACGCGTCACCTCTTTCTTCCTGCGCGTCATTTCCATCCTTGTGTTGGACCTCCAGGAGCAGTAGCACACTTCTCTCCCCTCATTGTAGTTCCTGAGATGGATCCACGTCACCAGGACTTGGTCATGTGTCTCTTGGGGGTAATGAAATGGCATCATACTGCCTGCCCCAAGGAGCAACATCCCTGGGATCCTGCAGGGAGTGTATGAGCTGGGGTTTTACCCACATCCAAGTGGAACTTTCTCATACATTAAATGCACACCCCAAGCCACTCCTGAGAAAACAGCTTGAGGATGTGCTCCTGAATACTGAAAAGAGAATCCAAGGAGGACCTAGATGACAGACACCGTGGCCACCAAGGAGACCAAGGTTTCCCAGGGGACAGCTGGGGAAAGAGGAGGAAACAATTGGCGGGGACAAGGAGCAAGTCCATGGCTCCCAAGTCCTGGGGACGTGGATCCATCTCAGGAATTACAGAGTCTGGGAATGTTTTAGGCACTGATAAAAGAGAGCTAAGGTTGCAGGTAGAATTAAGGCTGCTGGTCAGCTGAGCTGGACATGGGGAAGTTGTCCTGAATCTTCTGCATGGGCCCAGGGCGATGGTGGGAGCCCTATAAATGGAGGGAAGAAGGAGGCAGGGAAGAGGTCAGACTGATTCCCTGTGAGAAGACCCAGCCTCCTGGCCGGCTTGGGGGATGAAGTGTCCCTTTAGAAGCTGGGACAGGCCAGGGACTGATTCTCCCCAAGGGTCCCGCCACACCTTGACTTCAGCTCAGAGATCCCTGTGTCACACATAGGGACGTCCAGAACTACAGTCTGGCCCCCAGAACTGTAAGATGCGGTATACCCCCTCAAAGTTGTGGTTCAGACATTGTGGCTTTAGTTGTCCCCAGATTTTCCCCTTAAAACAGAACTAATAACTAATGGTTCGGGGAAACCCCTGCCATATTGCAGAAGCTGCAAATATCTTCTGCGATTGTTTGTTTGGTGGGAGGTTTGCAAGTAGCCAATCCGAGAGCGTTATTCAATTCTCCTTGCTGCTGATTGGCTGCTGCCTGTGACCCAGCAGATGCACCAGCATTCCGCATCATAACAGGTTGCTTACCGCGTGTAGCTGTCTCCAGCGTTCTCAGCTATGTCTGTCCTGCACCTGGAGTGAATCTTCCACCCATGTGTGATTTCTGGGACACTGCATGCTGTCATTTAAGCAACACTGCCACATTGAGTTATGCAGGTTCCACAATTAGCATATCTTCCTGTGCAGAACAAAGGAAAACCACAGAAATCTCTCCGTTGGAAACTATCAAGCTCAGAGTGAAGGATGTGAATTTTCCAAGCTTCTGCTTTGTATTTGAAACTTCTAGAGTTGTCAGTGGCAAAAAAAAATGCAGTAGTTCTTTTCCTTGAGGCGGCGGGTTCACTTTGTTCTTTTTAGAGAAAATAACTGCCAAATACTCCAGTCAGAATAGTTTATCTCTCAGTTCTTCATCCAAGCGAAAATGGCATTTCATAATAAAAGTCCCTGGCTCAGGTCAGAGTTCAGACCACTGCCCAGTTCTTGCATCAAAATATCCACAGTCATGGCCACATGCTGGGCTCCTTCTTGCCATGCTGCGGTAGACAGTCAGGACATCTGGTCGACCCGATGTTTGCACTCAGTGCAGTATGTGGATGGCTCTGCCCGCACCCTCTGCGGCTCCAGCTTTGGTTGACGTGCCCAGCAGCCAGCAAGCACTCCCTGGTCTCTGACGTGGTCTTCTTTGCCTCCCTTCCTGCTCTCCAGCTGTGGGGAAGGGAAGTTACGTTTCAAAGAACCTAAAGCAGAGTTCAAATAGATCAATGGCCAGCCAGCTCCCCGAGCCCCTTCAGGGCCCTCCTCTTATTGAGGAGGGTGCGGTACACCTCGAATGCCTTCCTCTTCCTTCCTGCTAAGTCCCTCCGCCCCCACCCCTCCCCCACTCTAGTTCTGCCCAGGTAGACAAGGACAGGGAGCAGCTGGGGAGAAGGCTGGACAGCCCTGCCAGGAGAGGGCAGCCTTTAGGTTCCCCGGTGGGTGCAGATTTGGCAGGAGTAGTAATGACCTGTCCACCCCAGCTCCAGGGGCTTTGTGGTTCTCTCTGAGGCAAAGCCTGCCTGGCTGACGCAGCTTCAGCTGCTCCGAGCAGGAGTGACGCTGTTCCTCCCAGATTCCCGCAGCCGCTTGCCCATCTTGCTTGGTTTTCACAGCTGTCACAGGAGTCTTATTTTGCATCTCTGTGAGGATAGTAGTCCCCTAATCCTGAGATGTTCCAAGACCCCATGGGTGACTGACCCTGTGGGTCAGGCTGAACTTGTGTAGGTGCTGTTTTGCTGTTGTTGTTGTTGTTGTTTTTTCACAAACACCACCAGTGATAAAGTTTAACTTCTAAGCTAGGCATAGTGTGAGATGGACAACATAAATAATAGTAAAATAGGATAATTATAAAAATATATTGTAAATACCATATTTATTTTTGTTATTGTTGTTTTTGTTTTGTTTTTTTCTGGTACTGGGAATCGAACTCACGACCTCCCGCTTTCCAGGCAAGTGCTGTGCTGCTGAGCTAAATTCCCAGCCCTATAAAAATATATTGTAAAGAAACTTCTGGGAATGTAGTCTCCGTATCCCCCTTTCTCTCTTTCAAAATATGTTCCTGCCCTGTGCTCGGCGTTCTTGTCTCCTGTGTGAGTGATGGAGAGTGGGAGGGAGGAATCAGTGACATTCACCCACACCTCTGTGAACTGGAGGCAGCCTCCGACACCTCCGTCCCCTGGCCACCCGCTGAGGTGTCCCCCACCACTCTGAGAACTTCCGAGTTGTCAGAAGACAGTGGTACCAGTGTCTCACCCTTTCTCACCACAATGAACAGATTAATGTTATCTCATCTAAAACTAAAAATATTGTGTTTGGCAGTCATTCTCTGAAACTCAGAACAGAAGGACACAGTCATCACTATCCAGGCTGCGTCTCCCTTGGCAGGGCCACTAGGAAGCTGTGTTCAAAACCAGGCAGTCTCCAATGGTGGCTTCCAAGACTTCCGGGTGCAGGGTTACTCCTGCCCTGGAGCCTCGCCGCCCCAGGCCACTTCAGCCACCCTCCCCGGGACAAGCCTGGGGTTCCCCCGTGTGGGGAGAGATCCCCAAATGCTTGCAGGAGACGGCACCTGACTTCCAAACCACTGGCCTGATTGTAAAAGCCACAGAAATGCTTCAATGTGGTGTCATTTCTACGACAATCATGTTTCCGTGCCAATCACGTGGTCTTTGCCACAGGGAGAGAGTGAAGGCGTGGAGGTGGCTCTGCGGTGGTAAGGACGCCCATGACCACATCTGCCCGGCTTGGGCTCACTGCCCTCTGCACAGAGAGTTCTTGTCTGTGTGTGTGTGTATGCACACACGCGTGCAAAATCAAGACGACCCGTCTATTTCTCCGTTCTGTGTTTCCACAGGCAGCTGAAGGGCAAAATTAGGAAGGAGAGCTCCAAGAGGGAGCTGCTGTCCAACACGGCCCATCTGAATGAGACGCACTGTGCCCGCTGCCTGCAGCCCTACCGGGTCCTGGTGAACAGCAAGCGGCAGTGCCTGGACTGCGGCCTCTTCGCCTGCAAGAACTGCAGCCATGCCCACCCGGAGGCCCGGGGCTGGCGGTGTGACCCTTGCCACCTAGCCAGGTGAGCCAGGCCCCAAAAGCAAGCCAGCCTGAGGGCCACTGGGCCCAGCACGTCCCTTCGCTGGGGCTCTCTGCAGAAGGGAGGACCTGCGGGGTGCGTGGCATTTGCACAGGTCTGTGCGGCACACTGGCAGTGCCACGGGCCTGTGCCCATGTCCCCACAGGGTGGTGAAGATCGGCTCGCTGGAGTGGTACTACGAGCACGTGAGAGCCCGCTTCAAGCGGTTCGGGAGCGCGAAGGTGGTGCAGTCCCTGTGTGGGCGGCTGCAGGGCGGAGGTAAGGAGCGGGCCCCGGTGCGCTTCTGCTCTAGGCTTGTGGTGATGCTTCCTGGGAAAGCAGGTTCCTCTGGAAGAGGCAGACAGACTGTCCGTTCTGTCAGTCGCTTTCTGGGAGAAGGGCAGACCTTTGCTTCCGGCTGCCTGCGTCAGCCTCCGGGGAAGTCCTTTGTGCTAGGAACATTACAAACTCAACCCTGGACTTCCCTGAGTGCGTGTCACTGTTACTCTTCCCCTAGGCCAGGCTGCCCTAGTCATCGGATGTGGGGCTCGCACACCCCACACACTTGTGACGAACAGCAGCACTTAGGGAAATCTCAGAATTCTGTCCTTCTCTGTGATGTCTGAATCCAGCTCTTTACTTTTGATGCACTTGAGCTACACACATGTTCTCCCCACAGCCCCTTTGATGTATCCGGAAGGAGGAAACCCAGGGAAAGGGTCGGGGTGCAGGGCTTGCACTTGAAAGGGAATTGGAGGGGTCTGGCTTGTCCCTGTCACCTCAGTCCTAGGCCTCTGCCAGCCAGCGAGCCTGCCAAGCGTTCGCTCGGGCCAGGCAGCCCACCAGGCCTGGCATGTAGGGTCCCAATCCCAGGTTATCCCACCTGCTGGCCCACACCAGTCCCCAGTGCACAGCGGGTGCCAGGCACGGAAGCCGGGCACATCCAGAGCAGGTGCCGGCTGCCAGGACGGGCAGTCCTCCCAGTGCCCAGCCCAGGCCTTTCCCGGGGGCTCCCCTTGGAGTGGCACCTTACCCTTGCCTGTCTCTAAAGCCCGGTGTGTAGGGAGGAGGAGAAGTCAGGCACTGCTGGCCCTCGGGGCCTCAGAGCCCAGGCTGGCTGGTGCAGGTGTGTCCAAGCCAGACACAGAGGCCAGAGACCCTCGCCGGCGACCGAGATGGGCTGGCTCCGCTTCGTGGGTGCCGGGGGCTCTGGGGCATGAGCTCAGGCATCCAAACTGGGACATTGTTGTGACACGGGGAGCGGCTGTCCCCGCCTCGGCACTCCTGCTTTGTGACTGCCTCCTCTGTCCCAGACGAGCCCTCTGCAAGTCCCAGGTTCCCACCAAGCTGGGCGGCCCTCTCCTCAGGGCACCCAGAAATACAGCCCCACTGGAGCTCCCGTCAGCCCAGTTAGACCCTGGGGACATGGCTGCCTGGGACTGTGTGGACTCAGGAAGCTGGCCTAAGAGGCCACAGGGCCTGCAAAGCTAGGCCAAGGCCGCTGCCGTTCCCAAGGAACCTGCGGGTTTCAGAATTGTCACCACCTGGGGCCAGCAGGTGGCGCTGTTGGGCTACAGAAAACCGGACGGCGCTGTCCTTCGCGTTCCAACAGGAAGTGGGTCTAGGACCGCGGGCGCACGCCCCCTACCCCTTGTGGGGAGCAGGCACGGGGCTGCGTGCTCCCTGGCAGGGCTCTGGAAAAATCAGTCCAGGAAGACAGGGTGCAAAGAAAGAGGAGGGGAGATTGGGAACGACAAGCCTTAAAAAAAGTATGCAACTTCTAGTGCTAGATGGTGCACTCCTGCAATCCCAGCCCTCGGAGGCTGAGGCAGGAGGATTTTAAATTCAAGCCCAGTGTACGCAACTTAGAAACTTAAAATAAAAAAAATTTTTAGCAATTAGGGATGGAGCTCAGCACAAAAGCCCTGGATTCAGTGCCCTGTTTATAAAAAAGTATTAATTTTTTTTTTTTTAAGATTAAAGTCCAGGGGGCTGGAGATTTAGCTCAGCAGCACAGCACCTGCCTGGCAAGCACAACATCATGAGTTCGATTCCCGGTACTGAAAAACAACAGCAACAACAAAAAAAAGATTAAAGTCCAAGTTTTGAAACGTGAATGTACCCAGTGGGCAGCTGCTGGGTCTTCCGAACGCAGCTTGGGCCGTGCTTCCTGCACCCTCGCGTGAGGCACAGGCTCCGCTGGGGGCCCTGGGCTGCCCCCAAGCACACGCCGTGCCCTGCCTCAGAGGGAGCCTTGTCCTGGGCATAGTTCCGCCTGCCAGGGAGCACAGGGCACCAGTGGCCTTTTTGCTCCCGTGGCTTCTGCTGGTTTCTCCTCCATCTCTGGTGAGGTCACGACATCCCTGTTTGGCATCAGGAATGTGGAAAATCCTTCATATTTTTGTAGCATGACTTGGCTGGGTAGATGGTCAGTACATCTGGCCCAAACCCTGCCCTGGGATGAGGAGCACTCAGCAGCCACCCTCCGTCCTGCAGCAGAGCCCGTCTCGGGGTCCCCCCATTAGGGGCTGGCATGGCCTTCTGTCTGGTCCGCATCCCGGCCCTGTCATCGGGCACCTGCTGGGTCTTACGAGCAGGGAGGGCAGGGGGCACGGGCAATGGCAGCAGGCCCTTAGAGTCTAAAAGGGAGACTGCAGCGAGGCCAAGCCAGGCCGCCGCACCCTCCATCCTCCCCCACCACCCCCATGACGCCACTGCAGCCCAGGCTGCCCCAATCCTAGCCCAAGGAGGCGGGCAGGCGACAGTGCTGAGGGGCGAGGCCAGCTCCGAGCTCCGGGCAGGCCCGTGTCAAGGCCAAGGCTGCAAGCTGGGTGCGACTGTTAGAGCTCTCCCAGACTGCGGCTTTCCCACTGCTTGTGTTTTTCTCTCTGCCACAAATGGAAAACCAAGCCAGGAGGCTGATTGCCCTCCTGCGGTCACCGTCAGGTTGGGACGAAGCCTGCGGCCCAGTCCCTGTTCTCAGGTGAGGAGGATCTGTGTGTGCAGCCCCCGGGGGAGAAGAGTAGGCCAGGACGCCTGCTGGGCCCAGGCACCCCTGGGGATAAGCGCAAAGATGAGGCAGCCCTGTCCCCGCTCAGGGGTATCAGTGTGGACACCCGAGCTCCTGGGACTGAAAGCCACAGGGACGAGCTTCCTGCAGGCACGCGCAGGCCCGGGAGAGGGGACGAAGCGTGCGAAACGGAGACAGGGCCACACGGGACTGATCTCCTCTCGGGAGCCCGCTGCTGTGAGATACTGAAGCAGCAGGGTGGGAGTTACAGGAGGCGCCTGGGCCTGGGGGCAACAGGCAGAGACTGAGAAGGGGTCTGGAGGAGGCCACCGGGGGGGGACGGGCCTGTGTCGGTTGCAGAAGTGAGGGAGCAGGCCCTGGGCTGCAGGGCCCGGAAGGGGTGCCTCTCCCCACTCAGGTGGAGCCGCGGCCAGGCAGGACGCGTGTGCAGGACCAGTCCCGCCCGCATCTGGGAGGTGCCGGGGTCCCTGCGCGGGTCGGACGCCATGCACCATCCCGTGACCCTGAAGTGCACCCACCTCCAGCTCTTCCCGCCCGGGACCCAAAGCACAGAGACCAACGGGTGGGCGACAGGACACGGGCATCTGTGAGCAGCAAACCGGGCTAGCGCCCCACACGCTATGAGTCCAGCTGTGCCCTCTGCGGCCCCAGAGACCAGAAGGCATGTGACCCACCAGCCTGGATCACGTTCTGCAGGGACTTGAGGACGTGAAGTGCAGGCAGGGCGGTGTGGACAGGAGGGGAGAGCACAGGGGCCACCCTGGGGAGGCCGGGCCCGCGGGGAGCTGAGCCAAGGGGGGCACCGGGACGGAGCTTCACCTCCTCCCAGCTGTGCCTGCTCATGAGCACGCGGCGGAGCCTGTCAGGGAGGAGTCTGCCTGAGAAGGCTGATGCAGTTCCCGGCCTCATTCCCCACATGGACGGCATCTTCAGGCAGACCAGGCAGTGGGCAGGAAATGTGGCCAATGCCTGCGGACGTGGCCGGGGCCCTTGGTGCAGTCTTGGTCTTCGCCTTGAACCGAGGTCTGTACAGGTCTTTCACCAGCCAGCAGGGGGCCTTGCCTGGACCCTTCTCAGCAGATGTGCCATAGATGGGGAGTTGGGATGGAGGATGGAGAATGGATAGACGGAGGATGGATGGGGGATGGATGGATGGAGGGAGGGAGGGAGGGAGGGAGGATGGAGGATGGATGGATGGATGGATGGATGGAGGATGCATGGATGGATGGATGGGTGGATGGATGGAGGATGGATGGGCAGAGGATGGATGGATGGATGGATGGATGGAGGGAGGGAGGGAGTATGAATGGATGGGTGATGCATGGATGGATGGATGGATGGAGGATGCATGGATGGATGAATGGATGGATGGGTGGGCAGAGGATGGATGGATGAATGGATGGATGGAGGTGGATGGAGAGATGGAGTATGGATGGATGGATGGAGGGTTGGATGGAGGGAGAATGGATGGATGGGTGATGGATGGATGGATGGA